CGCCGCGGAGCTCGGCTGCGCCGCGGACGCGCTGCCGCCGCCCGCGGCCGCGCTCGCGGCGCTCGTCAACTACCAGAAGCTCGCGCTCCAGATGATCGGCAACTTCAAGAACCCCATCAACCTCAAGAAGCGGGACCCCATGTCCTGGGACGAGATCGACGCCTACGTCCGCGCGCGCTACGACGAGAAGTGGGACCCGGCCTGGGTCGCGCAAGACCTCGCGGACGACCCCACGAACCGCAAGCGCGGCGGCGACGCCGCGCCCTGAGACCCCGCCGGCCTAACTCGCGTCGTCGCCGATTTTGATCCCGTAGCCTGTTACTCGGACCACTCCGCCTCCTCGCCGCCGGGGAAGACGGCGACGTCGTCCTCGTCGTCGTCGTCCTCCGGCGCCTCGGCGGCGGCGTCGTCCCCGCGCCGCCGGCGCCGCGGCGGCGAAACCGGCGCGTCGTCGCGCCACTCCTCCTCCTCCTCCTCCTCGCCGCCGCGGCGCCGCGAAACCCCGGCGGCCTTGCGCTTCGTCGCCGCGCGCCGGAGCCGCTCCTCGACGGCCCGGCCGTCGACGACGATGCGATTCCACGCGTTGATGAGCCGCTTCGCCGCGCGGCGCTGGCCGTCGGACCCGGTCTTCCGCAGCGAATCGAGGACGCCGTCGCGGCCGCCGAGGTCCAGGCCCGCGATCTCGTTGAACTCGACGCGCGCGGAGAAGAGGTCGCGGAGCAGCCGCGCGGCGTCGGCGCCGCCGTCGCGCGCCTCGCGCAGCGCGCGCGCGAGCGCTTCGAGCTTCTTCTTCCGCTCGCTCGACACGCCGACGCGGCACACGGGGAACGGAATAATGATGCCCATCGGCGTGTCGTTCGGCGGGGGCCTATTGCCAAACAACTCCGTGCCTCAACATTCAAGGTGAACTCAATACCGGGAGCGCGCGACGGGCGTCACCCCCCCTTCCCCGCGCGCCGGCGGGCTCTGTTACGCCTCCGTCGTCGTCGCGCCGGCGGGGGCGGCGGCGTCGGCTTCGGTGCGGCGGCGGCCTAGGGGCGCTCGGCCACGGGACGTCGTGGACGCGTTGAACTTGTCGACGCAGTCCGTGCACGTGTGGCCG